GGGGGTGGGGGGCTGGTTATACATCCATCACTGCTATCGGTTCCCCCTTTCTCTCACCTCCCCCAATCCTCCCCGATCTTGATAATGTCACTGTTCCCATGACTGTTCCTGAAGGGTTTCTCTGTCCTGGATTCCGTGTGTCGAGAGCTCTTATCTGTACCAGTGTACATGCTCCGGTCTAGCAGGGTTTGTCAGGTAGAACTGGGGTCAGGATCATGAGGGAGGGGGGGAAGCATTAAAGAACTAAAGGAATGCTGTGTGTTTCATCGGCGCTGTGCTGGGCCTTGGTTGGATCAACCCCCTGGTTGATTTCTTGATTGGTGCTTCCATGCGTGTTGATGGTAGACCCAAGGAAAGTGAAATCCTTGACACCATGAACCTTTTCTCCCTTTACCACCATGTTCTCTATGGGTGCCATTGTGAGAATTGTTGTTTTCGTGACATTGAGGTAGAGTCATGCTATACTGGTCTGTAGTCTTTCTCTTCAAGAAGTGCTTCAAGTCTTCTTTGCTTTCAGCAAGCAAGATTGCCCCAACTATCTATCTATCTTTCTTTTTTTTTAAAATCATTTTATTAGGGGCTCATACAACTCTTATCACAATCCACACACATCAATTGTGTAAAGCGCATTTGCACATTCATTGTCCTCATCATTCTCAAAACATTTTCTCTCCACTTAAACCCTTGGCATTAGGTCCTCATTTTTCCCCTCTCTCCCCCGTTCCCCCCTCCCTCATGAGTCCTTGATAGTTTAGAAATTGGTATTTTGTCATATCTTGCCCTGTCCGACGTCTCTCTTCATCCACTTTCCGGTTGTCTGTCCCCCAGGGAGGAGGTCACATATAGTTCCTTGTAATCGGTTCCCTCTTTCCTACCCACTCTCCCTCTACCCTCCCTGTTTTGCCACTCACACCACTGGTCCTGTAGGGCTCACCCACCCTGGATTCCCTGGATTTTCAGTTCCTATCTGTACCAGTGTACATCCTCTGGTCTAGCCAGACTTGCAAGGTCGAATTCGAGTCATGGTAGTGGGAGCGAGGAGGAAACATTTAGGAACTAAAGGAAAGTTGTATTTCTCATCATTGTTACATCGCACCCTGACTGGCTCATCTCCTCCCCGAGAACCCTCTGCAAGGGGATCTCCAGTGGCCTACAAATGGGCTTTGGGTTTCCACTCCGTACTCTCCCCATCATTCACTATGGTAAGATTTTTTGTTCTGATGATGCCTTATGATCCCTTTGACACCTCGTTGTTGCATAGGCTGGTGTGCTTCTTCCATGTGGGCTTTGTTGTTTCTGAGCTTGATTACCTTCAAGCCTTTAAGACCCCAGATGCTATACTTTTTGATAGCCGGACACCATCAGCTTTCTTCGCCATATTTGCTTATGCACCCATTTGTCTTCAGTGATCTCTTTGACACCACATGATCACACAGGCTGGTGTGCTTCTTCCATGTGGGCTTTGTTGCTTCTGAGCTAGATGGCCGCTTGTTTACCTATCTATCTATGTGTGTGTGTGTGTGTGTGTTTAACATAATCTGGTGTCAGTTTGAGGATTCAGAGTTAAGGGGTGGAGTTTAGCCTGTCAATCAGGTAGTAGCTTGATGACCTCACTTGGAGGAGGTAAGGAGATAAGTAGCTTGCTGGAGGAGGAACACAGGCTCACTCTCTGGAAGACATTACAGCTGATAAGACACATGGAGCTACCTAGTGCCCTGAGCTGGAGGAGCCACATGGAGACCCCTGCCAGCACTGAGATGCTTCCACTGCCACTGGATCCACAAAACTTTTCACCCTCTGGCCTGTGATCTTCCTGAATTTGGCATCATTGCATGTGTTGCATGAGTCTGAAGAGGAATTTATAGATTGGTATCAGACACAGGGACTACTTTCAGACTTATGGACTTGATCTGGACTGGGCTGGGATGTTTTCAAGATTCAACTACTCTTTTATAAAAGGCTCTTTCTTTTACACATATGAGTGTCTATGGATTTGTTTCTCTAGTCTATCCCAGACTAACACACATATACATGGAAAAGCTTTATATCAAAGTAATTGTATATCAAGAAAGCATCCCAGCCCATTCCAGATCAAGTCCATATGCCCAACATTAAGCCATATGTCTGATACTAATCTATAAGTCCCTCTTCAGACCCATGCAGCACATGCAATGATGCCAAGTACAGGAAGATCACAGGCCGGTGAGTGAGAAGTCTTGTGGATCCAGTGTCGGTGGAAGCATCTCAGGATTCTAGCTGCCATCAGCATGGCTCGAAGTACCTTGTCAACAGGAATGTGTAACAGGGAGAGAGTGTGTAGTCTGTCTCCCAGGAGAAAATGGAGGGGAAGTTCCCAGAATTCTCATGATCAGGCTAGAATCCACCCTGTCACTCTTAATATCCTCAAGTTGACATGAGATTATGTAAGGCCACACACACACCTTTTATGATTTTAAGCCATTCGGTATCCCCGTGTATTGTGTGAATGACTGATGTATGTACAGGCTCCATCTGAACACACGAAGTGTTCTGGGATTCCCATGGTTTGCAATGTTATCCATGGTTTGCTATGATCCACACAGTCAAAAGCCTTGGCATAGTCAATACGACACAAGTAAACATCTTTTTAGTAGTCTCCAATTTCAGCCAAGAGTCGATCTTAAGCTCACTGCCTGGGGACTGTTGCTTGAAATAAGCTGTCAGAAAGTACAGCCCAGGGTCCCAGCGCTGGACACGGGCAGATAAATGTGGGAGGACACGGCTGAGAGGCCTATCTCACCCATCACCAGAACCAGGCTACCATGTAATGAGTACTCAGACATGGGCAGTGGGCGAAGACAGTTAGCGGAATGGCCCTAGAGATGTCAAAGCGTGATGACATGGGAGGAATGAATGGATTCTGATCTGGCAGCATTCAGCTGTCCAATGTGTCGATGAGGTTTTTTGTTTTGTTTTGTTTCTTGAAAGCTTTGATGAGCCACTGAAGGACTTGGGGCGGGGGAAGGACGGGGTCTGTCCTTGTGGTGATGAAATATCGCTCTAAGCTGATGTGAAGAAGACTGCAGGGAGTGGGTGAGATAGTTTATTGTGCCAGCCTGGCAGATGAACACAAGTGGGATTAACTGAAGGGCAGAGAGGATAAATGCCTTGGTGAGTCTCGCCTGTCTTGTCTCTCGCTCTGTGATCATCGGACCAGTGTGCGGCTGCCTTGCTTGTCCTGTGCCTCAATTTAAAGGCTACACCACCTGTGGGATGCCTAGCCTGTGGACTGTGTCGCTGTAAGTTGAGGTCCCTTTAAGACATCGCTGGAGCTGGGGACTGGCAGTTGGTGACCTGGCTGGCAGTTGGTGACCTGCCTTCTGATTGGCTGCTGTGCTGACATAGCCTAGCTCTCTCTATAAATAGAGGAAGATCTGGCAGCAGACTGGACTGGAAGGACTGCTAGTCTCTCACTTCTCTCTCACGGCAGTGAGTTGAATTGAGCCATTTGTAGTGCTTTATAATTTACCTGTTTCTTGCTTGTATTATATATTTAACTGTATATGATTTAACAGTTCATTCCTTGTTCTATATCTACTTATCTTTATACATGAATATATTAAAGTATCAGCAATTTGGTTTTATCTCTCTAGAGAACCCTGTCTAACACAGTGGGGAAGACTGAGGTGAAGAGAATAGACAGGCGGCTGAGCTGACACTCTTTGGAGCAAAAGAGGATCTAATCTGATCTGGTATAGATATTGAGAGACTATTCAAAGAGGAAGTGAATTGAGACACCTTCAAGGGAAAGTGTCAAGACTCATTGAATTAGCATCGAAAGGACCCCCATTGTTTTAAGAATATAGTGTGGTAGGTACATAATCTGTTGTCAATTTGAGACTTAAGAGTGGAGGGGTGGAGTCTGGCCTGTCAATCAGGTCGTAGCTTAATGACCTCTGTTTGGAGGTGCTAAGGAGACAAGTAGTTCGCTGCAGGCGGGACACATGCTCACTCCCTGGGAGACATTGCAACTGACAAGACACAAGGAGCTATTCTAGTGCCCTGAGCTGGAGGAGGCACATGGAGACCCCTGACAGCACAGATGCTGCCACTGCCACTGGATCCGCAAGACTGTCCACCCACTGGCCTGTGATCTTCCTGCATTCAGCGTCATTGCATGAGTTGCATGAATCTGAAGAGGACTTTATAGCTTGATATCAGACATATGGGATAATATCAGACTTATGGATTTGATCTGGACTGGGCTGGGATGTTTTCTCAAAATTCAATTGCTCTTGTATATAAACCTCTTTCCCGTACACATATGAGTGTCTATGAATTTGTTTCTCTAGTCAACCCAGACTAACACACATAGGATGGAGGTTCCATCACCAAGAGTTATATATCTCAGTTGCACTTCCAGGTGAGGTCATCAGTTGTGGCCTGATTGACAGGCTAGACTCCACCCCCAACACTTTTCTATATCTTCTGTTAACTACCACAGTCCTGCTTTTAAAATCTGACTTTCCTGGTCTAGGATGCCCAGATTCCTAGATCTCCAATATTTTAATCTTTGGACTCCTCTATCCCAAGTGTTTAAGTCTCTGAAAGCCTCCAAGGTTCTCAGTCTTGGATGAGTGAGACTCTCCAATCCCCGTTCTATTGAGGGGTGTGTAGGGCCCCGGTTCTCTTGGCCTCAGAGCCTGTGGGCTCCTGCAGAGGAGTAGAAGAGAGGTCTGAGTAGAAGAGATTAGTCTGAGACTAATCCCTCTCTTTGACTCCTCCCCTGGAGCCCATCTGGGTCTCCAGACACCTGGATCCCTGGAAACGTGGGGTCCCCATCATCTTGGTCTTAGGGACTCCTGAGACTCAGGGGATCTGAGCTTTTGAATCCCTGAGTCTCTGAAGCAGAAATTTCTTGGGTGTCCTGGTCCTGTCAAGACCTCTGTCACCTACCACCCAACCTGGGGCTCCACCTCTAGCTCCATCCGAGTTTAACTGGCTCCCTGTCTGACATCCTCATGGTGAACACCAAACACATGCACGAGCTAGAGGCAGGTACACTCAGAGTCCTCCAAGCCTTCACATGTGCTTTTGTTACCCCCACCCCCTAATGTTGGATGCACATCACCCCTTTGAAATCCCCCCTTCTAGAAACTTTGGTAGAAGGAGCCCTGGTGTCATCGTGGTTACTTACACCTTGGGCTGTTAACTGCAAAGCCAGCAATCAGAAACTACCAGGTGCTCCGCGGGGGGAAAGATGAAGCTTTCTAGACTCGTAAAGTTTGACAGTCTGGGGGAACCCGTGGGTTTCCAAGATTGTAACTCTTTAGGGAAGTAGAAAGCCTCATCTTTCTCTCGCTGTGACTGCTGGTTTCAAACTGCTGACCTTGCACTTAGCAGCCTAACAAGTAACCACTATGCCACGAGGGCTCCTTTAAAGAGTGGCTCTAAGTCAATGGACTCTATGGCACGGGCTTGGTTTAGGTTCGAACAGAACCTGACAGAACACCAGGAGCCCTGAAGGTGCGTTGGTTAAGTGCTCGGCTGCTACAGATACTGTCCGTGGGTCTATCCAGCAGCCCCTTGGAGAGCGAAAGATGTGGCAATCTGCTACTGTACACATTACAACTTTAAACACTCTATGGGGTAGTTCTACTGTGTCCTGTAATGTCGCTAAGAGTCTGGCAGATCACTCCAAGACGT